TCACTTCTGTAGTTTCAAGCAAGAAACAAGACCGTATCCAGCTTGAGCTACTGTCTGACAGTGGAGAGATTTGGAGAGATTTTAACGTTATCAGCCATCACCACCTACCACCTTGGATGAAAACTTTTTCTGACCTACTATTTATCCATCTCTAAGTGAAAGTGAGTCTTGGGAAGAGATTTGGAGTTGGAAAGCAGAACTGCTCCAATTACTAGAAATGGTCGTGGATGGACTCCTCCAAACCCATGGGTTATGTAAGGAAGCATAAGACATATCATATCAAGGAAAATTCTGCACTGTAGATGGGGAGATAGACATATGGTGGAAAAAAAACGGTGTTCAAGCCTGGCAAAGCTGCAGAGATGACATGAGATGATGTCCACAGTCTACAAAACACAAGGTAAAACTGGATGAGCTCTGAAACTGCGTGGCAGAAGGTCTCACCCAACAGGGACCAGAAAACAAAACAGCAAAAAGCTCAGCCTGGCTCCCTCTTCCCCTGAAAACTATGGAGAGCAACTTGAGGGTCAAGCAGGTCTTTATAGGATCATTAGGGCTGGAAAAGACCTTGAAGATCATCAAATCCAACTGTAAACCTCAGTCAGCACCATCCAAAACTTGCAGAAAATATATATGTTTCATTGAAGAGCAATTAAAATCCTCCTGGATGCTTTTTTTGCATTCACCCTGCAGATTCACTCAGCCTTTTTAATTCACCCTGCACTTACAAGCAGGTACTTGGGTTAGGCTGTCAAGACAAAAGTGATTCGAAGCCATATGTGCTTAGCTCCTCAGAAGACATATCATTCCCTAACACAATGGTATTAGAGAAACGGCTGACAGGTAGCGATCAGGAGACTTCATTCTGCTTGTCATGTGGTGGGTTGTCAATTCTTCTATTCTCCTTAGATAAAAGCTTAGTTGCATTAGATTTAAATAATGGGGAAGTTGCAGGTTAGAATTTTTCAAAAGTACCCAAATGACTTCAGTACTTAAATTCTATTTTCAAAATGATGTCGCTATGCAGGAATATAAGTTGGTGGAGTAAATGGAACTTAGCCACAATTAAAGAAATTCATAGAAGAGGAAGGGAGAGAAACCAAACCAAGAGGACATGAAACTTGTCCTCTGCTCCAGGCCCCTGGCTTAAGGTATATATAATTTGCAAATTACATTCATAAGACAAAGTAAGYTCCAATTTAAACATACTTTTCACTTTGTTCTATCACTGCATTTGTTAATTTTATAGCACATTTCCTCTTGTCCCTCTAAAAACGTTTCTTGGTGATACTTTTAAGGTGGACTTTACCTGAAAAAGCAAATTACACTAAAGATTTAAGCAGAGGTTTCAGAGATTCCTTTCCAGTTTGCTGTGAAAAATATCTACTTAAATTCTTCCTTTAATTATTTTTTGACAGTAAATACCCAGAGATTAGAAGAGGAGGTGACCATTTAAACCTCAGGCCCCCAAGTGAAATAGAAACTTGAGACTCTGCATMAAAGGCAAGAAATAAAACAAATGGTATTTCTGCTGCGAGTACCAACCTACCATTAGGCAAAYGAAGAATCCCTGTGGCTATTTCCTACTTAAAATATTTGTAGCTCCTCCAACATAAAGTGGTGTTCATAGAAGAGGCTTGAGCCTTGGAGTGCTCATTGGAACCACGTTTCTCCTTGTGCCTGTGAGGTTTCCCCTCACCAAGCCACATCCATGGGACCCTGATGCCAGTGTTAGGCAAGAAAAGCTCAGCTGCAACTTTAGGTAGGCAATTTTTGGCTATTGCCTTCACTGCTTAATTGCTCTGCATCACCTTACAGCACACGGCTCGTTAAGCTATAGATGCTTTCAGCACTTTCATTTTGATCTGTTATTTCAGCAGGCATCTATGCAACACTGAGAGCAAATACGGTTTGAAACAGGGCTGCCGTAGCAGTTACAGAACATCTAAAAGGAAGGGGGRAAAAAAAAAAAGAAAAAAATAGGCCAGACCTTTATTAAATTTTAAAGTATGCCTTTGCTACACTCTTGTAAAGATCCAAATAGGGTATTCAAATCTCTAGAGATCACCAGTATAATTTCTTTATCATGTTCCATTTAAAATTTAATTATGTAGTCTACAACAAGAAGTATTTGAGTACTCTAAATAGGTCATGCAATGAACAACTTAATAATATTATAAAGTTTCCTTGTGAAGATCTTTTCTTTGATGTGCTGTTACACACAGAAAACCTTTCTTCAAAAAAACAATATGCACTCATACATATAATAATGGYGTTCAATATAAAAATTGTGAATCTTCTTTATCATGTTATAAGTTGAGATTTTCAATACCTTTTCTAACCTATACTCCCCAAATCATCAGAAATAGCTGGTACAGTAAAACTGACACAATCTAATCGTGCAGAGTATTTTTATAGCTTTCTACAGGCAAAGTTTATCTTACGGGGCTTCCTTCTAAATGATGTCCTCCAACTCAGGCTTTTCTGCTTTTGCTTATCATCTGTAACATTTATTATTCAGTGGCAAAAAGTAAGGCTGTTTCTTCTTCCTCTTAAAAATCATCATTAGGGAACAATCAACARCATTCGATGGAAAATGGTGATATTAAAATCACTGTTTACCAAGACACTTTGTTATATTTCCCTTATAAGAAGGCACATCTTGGTTATTATAGGAGAAGAGAAAATATTCCCTCTTCCAACTTCTGGCTATTTGCAGGGCTTTCTGGGATCAAATCCCCAATTTGCGTTCTATAATCCAAATTGGGATTACAAATTACACCTCTACACAAACACACATACACACTTATTTTTTGGGAATAAACAAAAAAAATGTGGAAAAAAAAAAAMCAAATAAGAGTCTGCAGTGATGAAATCATCCTGATATTAAGACAAAATGCTCTAATATAGACACATCTGCTCAGGCTTGCACAGCCTGCAGCCCAAACCCTTTGGCCAGGATTAGCGTTGCTGAAAAAGAGTAGATYAACCCAAAACACAAATACATCCATGAGCCAGTATAACCAGGAAATGGCACTACATCTACCTGTATAAATGAGGCTTAATATTCTAGAATTATGGAGGGGTTTGAGCTTGTTTTCTTGCCTCATTAGGCAAAACACAACTTGCCCAGGAACTACAGGAAAGTAGTTCTTAGTTTTCTCATCTCAACATGTCAACCTGATATTGTATATTTAAAACAATCTGGGGGTGGGGGGATGGCGACATCAGAGTGTTGCAGGTTTATGAATTAATAACAGCAAAACGGCTCACTTGGAGCTTGAGCAAAGAACACAAAATATTAGATAAATACTTTACAACCTAAAATTAAAAACCCAAGGGAGCGGCTCGCTTAGAGGAATGCGGGAACAGGTGAGTCCCAGAGAAAGCTTGAGGACTGGCCAACCTGCACACAGCTGTAAACATTTGTTTTAAATCAAGACAAAATCAGGGCTTTTAATATTTATAACAYAATTACAATGCCTCGTGCACATCGCTTGCATAATCTGATTTTTACCCACGACATCTTGCCACAGTCGAAATTAAAGCCTTGCGGTAATAATTCAAAAAGCAAATTTAGGCAATCATTAATGGCAAGTGTGAATCTGGATGTTTATTCAAGCACCTGCATCTCTCATTTTAACTTTAATTTAAAGCAGAACTCATTTCTGCAGTACAAGGACGGCATGTTTCCAGTATATTAGTCATATAATATACAACCAATTAGTGGCATGCAGTCAAACTGGAAATACTTCAGCATTAAAAACTTAAAAGAGACARCTAGGCAGCCATACATACATTCCTAAGCAAGGAGACAGTTGCACCATTGACTCTCTGATTTTTTTATGCAGAACTGTAACTTTTTTTGCAGCTAGGATGCACAAAATCTTTTGTGGCAGATAAGCCTGATTGTCAGCCAGCAAACAAACAATTTCAAGTGCCTTGCAAACTTTYACCAGCGTATTTCATTGCCCAAGTGGGGGGTAATCTTAAATAGAAAGGTATGCAATCAATGAATTTACACAAATCTAACAGGATTGTACCCACAAAACAGGATGGTACATGACTAAGGGGTAAAAAAAAATCAAATATTGTGAAAATAGACATTTTTACAGCCTGGCAGTACAGATAAGCATATGAATGTATGCTCCTCACAGGAAAAACTAAGTATCATAGCAGATTTTGGTTTTCTTTTTCCTTCTCCCCATCCTTTTCTCTGTCTGCATGACTACAGCATTTATTGCATCCTCCAAATAGGCAAGTCTCTCTTTCCAAACCTCTGCTTTAACCTGCAAGCCATGTCTAGCTCTGTTATTTTGCACAAAGTTTTCTCACCGCCGGGGAACCTGATCTGAGCAATTCTGCTTTCCAAACAAAAAACGCATTAGGAGACTAATGTTTTCTCTCCACCTTCCACGTTTCCCTCGTCTCATCCCTGAGGTGAAATATAAAGCAAAAGCAAGGCCACCTGCAATGTCTCTAATTGCACAGCTGGAAGAAAGCCACATCTGGGATGTTGCTTTCCAGGTATGCAAAATCACACTAAGTCTGCAAACCACTTAAAAGTGCGGCTTTAAACTCATGTAGTTTCGGATGCTCTGGTGTTTCACAGATGTTTTACTGCCTATGACATGCAGAGTATTCCTTGCCCTCCCTGCAGGCCTGAATCTCAATATCCCAGCAGTTTTCTTTATGAAAAAAATCACGTTCTGGCTCAAAAGGTCGTGCTTCTTCCAGCAGACTGTGGACACAGATCGAGAGATTTGCTTTAGAGCAACTTGCTTACCTTGGTAATGCTCCAGATAGCTCGGTGGCAGACTCTCTGAAAGACACAAAGGATGGAAAAACGAGTGTGTTTAAAGCAGCTGTAATGTTTTAGCAACAAGAAACCATTATACTATTAGTATTTTATATAAGTGCAGAAGCACATGTGCCATTTTATATGTAGACGTGTCGTTTGCAGAGATCAGAATCATAGAATYATTGAGGCTGGAAGAGACTTTTGGAGATGATCTAGTCCAACCTCCTGCATGAGGGAGATATCACGATCGTGATAAATGGATGATGGGGTGTGATCCAGGGCTTTCATCAGAATAAAGTTCTCAATGGTTCAATTACTCATTTTCTAAACATAACATTATCACTACTTCAAATGCCAGCACTGCTACATAGCTAAAATGTAGCATTGAGCCAATACTTGGGTGGAAAAAAAAATCCCATATTTAGTGCTGCTAAAACAAGGGATTCAACTTAGATTTATACAAAAGTTATACTCTGAGAAAATGCTAAGTTAGTGTTAAACTGTTTTATCTTGGGTGTTAGGCAATAGTTGCTTTCCAAATATGTGGGTTTTGATGCAATTTATAGCTTGAACCTACTTGATGCATTTGGAATTTTTTTGGGAGAAATGATGTCAGAGAATGAAAGCGAGCTAAAGTAACTGACATATCATGCTAAATTGCACTTAGCCAGATTACCACAGCCTGTATACATGACATAAAATATATCTCACTTCTGCTACCATGTTATGCCCTTGCTTCCCTCCCAAGTGCATTTGCTCAGACTTTATCCAAAAATCAAAATCAGTAAGCTCCAAACAAGCAATTTTCCTTGCTCTCCCATCTATAACAGCTCCAGAAAACAATAATAAACAGCCATAAGAGGTTTGTTTTGCTAGGCTTGACCAACGGTCCATCCAATTTCACATTTTATTCCTTAGATGAAATCTCTGTCCTATGGCCAAGGTGACTGTAGGGAAGAGAGACAGTTAATACATGATTTCCTTCAGCTAAGATTCAAATTGCAAGATTTCACATCTATAGCTTGGTTCCTTGTTCCCGTAGCACTGTCTTCTCCTGATTACCAGCTGATGAATAGAAAACCTTTCCATCTCTTTTTACATTCAGAAAATAAAGTTAAATGACATAACTAAATAAAATAGCTTTTGAAAAACTCTGTAGCTTAAACATCGCCCAAACCATTAGCCTAGTGATCCCTGAGTAGCAGAGCCATGCCTTTGGGTTTTTGTTGCAAGGTTATCAACTTTATAACTTCCAAATCTGAATCTAATTTCTTTAGGAATCCAAATGAAAAAGATAGACCTTTACCATGTACTGTAGTTCCTGCATTCGTACTAGTAATCTGTAAAATCTGTTTAAACTATTAACCTTGAGTGATACCTCATCATCAAGCTAATTACCCTTGTACAAAATATGAATCATCAGTTTTACATGACTCTATTTTATTGGCTGTCACCAAAAAGTGAATAGGATGATCTTATTTACCTTCTCCTTGCTGCTCATTATCTGACAAACCTTTAAAAAACCACCCCTTCCCTCCCACTTTGACAAGTCTTAATCTCTTTAATTTCTAGTTATGGTTTTTCCTGGGGCCACCTGGTTCCTGCTATACACTTTTTTGATGTGATGATGAAAGATTTATCAGAATAAAATCAYGATAAGTCAGAGGTCTTCTATAATTATAGATCTTCCGTGCGCTTTGGCATTATCTGGTCTATGACCAAGGTGAAAGGGAGATRCCTTTTTAGTTATTTTGTTGTTGTTGAGCCAATGACACCCAGCTTTTTCCTGAATGGTTAAATTTTCAGTTTTAGGACCCATTCTGGTGTCATGGAAGATAAACGGGTGCCCCTGGACACAGGCCAATTTGCATTTTGTTGACTCTATCTTCAAGCTGTGCTCTTCAGTTTGTGGGTGACTGGAGGTTGCCATAAACCTCAGAGTTTTGCTTTAAAAGATGCAGATCAGAACCATGTTCAGTAACCACTGAACAAAGAGGAGTAAATAAATGCAATACAGCATATGGAGGCAGTTTAGAAGTCCCAGCTACAAACTGGTCACTAGTTCCCACCCCAGAAAATCAGCTAGGTAGGTATTTAATAGGGGACCAGGGTCAAAGTCCATGATAGTGAGTCCAGTGGAGGGTGAGTAAGATCATTAAGGGACTGGAACGTTTCTCATATGAAAAGAGATTATCAGAACAGAGCCTGGTCACCTTGAAGGAGAGAGGGCTGAGAGGCTGTGATATACATGAGTGCAAATATGAGGGGTAGGAGAAACAGGTAGAGATTAGAAAGAGTTAAGAAACTGAAATTAATGTGGTGCAATACAGAGTTGGCTTCTAGGGCATTTAGCTATATCAAATGTATTTTATTATTATTAAAATCTCCTGACCACTGGTATTAAAAGACTTTCTTTTCTAAGCCTTATTCATAAATTATATAATTCAAATCATTAACATAACATTTTCTGCAACTTAACAATGAACTTGATCATGAGATGGTTCCAACAGCCAGGAAACTGTTTCCTTCCACCTTTAACCATAAGCACATTTGTCTTTCACTTTTTTGGAGGAAACAATTTGAATTTTTTAGTAAAGATGGATGTTGCTTCCTCTAAAAGGATTCCCCAGGTTTAGCTACCTATTACTGTTCTGATAACAGAATAGTCCAAAATGTGCTGGCTTAGAAAAGAGAAGACCATATTTTATAAAATATCAAGTAGTGAGTCAGTTTATTCCAGGAAGCACCAAGAAGAAACCATGATTAAGAGAGATTTTTGAACTGGAAACACACTGCAAATTTCTGCCCAAGGCAGCGAGAGAATTGTGCATCTGAATTTCTAATGATTTTCATTTTTTCTTAAATAACCCACTCTGCAAGAGATGTTGTCCATATGAAAACAATTACTAAAAAATCAATGTGGTGAGAAAAAGCCTGAATGTGATGAGAATTGTAACCGAACACACTGTGTGCCTTTGCCACATACATTTTTAATGCCATTAATTACATAGTCAGTTTTGTGTTTGGGCAGATCAAATGCCAATTTTAAGCAAAAATGTGTAAAGTAAAGACTTTTGAAATCCATCTCAAACTTGAATAAAATTAGAAAGCTCACAAACAAAGGGGAAGAACCAATCAGATTAGTTGCCAGCTATAAAAGATTTTACTGTTTCTCATCAATTCATTGAACGTTTAAACCACAGAATAATCTTTCCCAAAGAACTTTAGATTAATAAAGAAAAAATATTTGTTTTCTAGAAAACAAATACAATTATCCTTTCAATGACACTGAAAATAAATAGTACTTTTGGTGCTGAAGATGGTTAATATCCACTGTAAATGTCCTACAAATAAAAGAAATAGCAACACTGCTCTATAAATATATTTTATTGAAGTTAAAAAAATCTTATGTAGAAAATTACTTATCAAGAAAACTCTTATCATTTATTAGATAATGGATACTCTTTCTGCAGTATTCCAAGAAACTGAAACTAGACTTATGCAACTAATTTTCATATTCCTACTACTCCCAAATGACACATGCAGTAAATTATCATTTGTGTTTATTGTATCTACAACAACTGAAAAAAAAAATTTTTTTTTAAGATGAAAATCAGTCTTGGATAAAAGTGAGCAAAAGATAATACTAAAGGGAAAATGATTTCAAGATCACATATTTCCATGTCCTGCTTAGGATACGCAAGGACAACCTGAAAACAGGGAAGATGTAAACCCGAGAGCTTTCCCAGGATTTCTCCAAATACCACTGAATTCAATGCCAATTCAAGGCATTGACATGACAGAAAGTTTACATTAGCATCACCCAAATGAGAAAAAAAGGCATGGAACCAAAGCGGGAAAAAACAGACTTTATCTGAGTTCCCTGCCAAAGCAAGGATGATGTTAAGGACAGAAGAAGACAAAGGAGATGGAGAAGCTCTTAGGTAGAAGGCAACATTATTGGCAGGCAACCACTGTGTGTTTTGCCCCTCCACTCCCCCTCAACATAAAAAATAAGAAATAAAAAAAACAATAAAAAAGAAAGATGTCATTCAGTAAATACATGAAGAGCTTTGGCCTGTTAAAGAGGCTCTCAACACTCTGGAGAAGGATAAATAGCTCTTCTTGGAAAGCAAAGAGTCAGGGTTGGGGGAAAACGTACCACACACGCAGACGTATGTTATGAAATTTCTCTCCACCATCTGAGAACTCCTTCTTGTAGGATAAGAGTAGGATGTGTGCACATCCATGCACCAAAGCAGAAAAGTATAAATATTTTAGTCAGAACCTTACATTGAAGTGGAAGTGGGAAGATATGCATAAAGAGCAGCAAAACAGACTCACTGCCTAATAGTTTTGTTTAAAGAAAGTAGTTCAGAAGAACTCTTCATACTGTTGGAAAGTGGTGTATTTGTATTAAATGTTTTGTTCGCTGAGAATCATATGGTGCTCTTATCTTGAAGGCTGACTGGCAGCTGTTGTTACCACCTACGCATGGGATTTGGCACAATAAAATTCCAAGCTTTTTACTCTGTGCAGCATTTTTGTCCAATTTGTTACTCTGTCTTGTGCATTTGCAGGGATGTAAACTGAGGCACAAGAGATGGGACAAGGTTTCAAAGGGCAACTGCAGTAATCGTGTGCATATACTGACCTTAAGTATGCATCTGGTAGTTGCCTACCATGTAACTTAGCAAGCTCTGACCCAATTCACTTCAGTCAGGACTACGCTTAGAAACATTTCTTGCATCTGCAACATGGACCTTCAGAGTGCTGTTAAATCAAATTACAGACAGTATGCAAGCCATGAAACGGTTATGAGCCTTATACCCAAGAATTTGGAAAGTCCTAGGTCTCCATCAAGAATGGTTTTTGTTCTCAAATATTTATGTATTCCAGCAAAGCAATGTATGGGTGTTCTAGAGAAGATGCCAAAATAAATAAATAAATAAATAAATAGGAAGTTAGCAACACATTCCTCTGCTTGTCTGAAGTGCAGACAAGCACTTTAATCCCCCACA